GGGGGGGGGGGGGGGAAAAACAACAACAAAAAAGACCAGCCCGCCGGCGAGCCGCCCTTGCTGGTGCCCGGCCGCTTCGGCGCGCCGGCCGCGAAATAAAGGCTAATGGGTCCCCGGGGTGGCACACCGGAAGGCCGGACGGCCCTCGCTTGCGCGCCCATCAGCAACTGGCAAACGTGGCAGGCAGGCCGATAGCTAGGGAATGCTGTTACAAGCGCTTCCGCGTGTATCACATGCCACATGGGCCGATGTTACGCGAGTCGTGGCGCCTTTTCACCCGGGTCTCGGACGCCCTCCGGCAGGAGGCGGCGCGTGTGTGCACGCGTCCCGCAGCGAGGAGGCACGGAGAAAGGAGCAGGCAGGCTGCGCGTCTCCGAGGGGCGGGACGGCCTTGCGGCCGAGGGAGAGACATTGAGCCCATGCCGGGGGGGGGGGGGGGGCCTTCTGACCGGGCGGATGTGGGACAAGTACGTGCTCACGGACGCATGCACACACGCACACACACGCACACACACGCACACACACGCACACACACGCACACACACACACACGCGCGCGCGCGCGCGCACCCCCGCGGAGAACCAACAACAATGGAGGGAGAAGGGCCGAAAGTTCTCCCAACCGCCGGGCGGGGCTGAGGCATGGGAACCGGTGTGCCGGGCGCCAGGCACTGGGTGGCCCCCACGGCCAGCCGGAAGTCGCGCATGCCGACTCCCCTGTGGGCTGCCAGCACGAAGTGCACTCGCACACCCCTCCTCCAACCGGTGCCCAAGGACTTGCCCCTTGCCCTCGGCACACGCCGAAGGGCGCAGAGGGACGCGTGTGGGGCATTTTCGATGACAGTCTATTCTTTGAGGGGGGGGAGGGGCGCGGACGGGGCGCGCGCGCGCACAGCCGCCCACGCGCGCGAAGGAAGGGACAGGCGAGGGCAAGGACACAACAAAGTACATGATGGGGAAGGATGTAGCGGAGGGGAGCTGGGAGGCAGGAAAAACATGGAGAGAGGGGGGGCGAGGAGGGAGAGAGAGAGGGAGAGAGAGAGAGAGAGAGAGAGAGAGCACACTCCTGGCGATGGATATCTCCCGCACAAGGGAGAGGGGGAAAGACCACGGCGCGTGCGCACAACTGCCCATATCTATGCATATGGATGTGCGGGCATGTACGTGCACGTGTGCGTGTGTGTGTGTGTGTGTGGCGCTGTGGCTGCATGGGCATACATGGCACACCCACACCCCGACGACAGGTACATACAGGGGCAAACACCCCCATGCAAATATATACACGCACACGT